GTTTAGGTTGATATGAAAACGGGGCTTTGCGAGGAGGAAAAGAAGAGGAAGAGAGGGAATAAAAAAGATACGTCAAGCTCAGCCTCAATGTAACAATAGTCTTGCTGAAGTTGCAAAAATTCAGGCTCTTCGACTGGTTGTCTTATATTTAGAGATATCGGACGATCTGTAACATGGTTACTTTGGCTTCTAATCTTATATGACTAATTTAAGCCCATTTGGTAAATTGTAACTATGATGATTACTATAATTAAGTTTCCTCCAAATGCTGTAGCAAGATACATTTTTTTCTAGGGATTTTTTCTTTTCATGGGTTGCGATTTCCCTCAGTTTACTTTCGATATCTTGTAGTGATAGGGCGTCATTTAATTCAGCCCATTTCGTAATCATTATTTGCTCTTCTTTCTCTAAATCAAGCGTATTATTTGTAATGCGATGAAATACATCTTGGGATAACAGTATGGATAAGCTTATGGATTACTCAGGTTTGTAGATATGGGTGTAATTTCATTTTATTAATTTTATTCCCTACAGGATGACGTCATGAGAATGTGCTGAGCACTGCCCGCTTAATGTTAGAAGTCCAGTGCCCTTGAGTGTTAACTCTTGGCGACGATCATAATCACAAATTAGACGAAGTATGAGAGGATCTCTAGTGGACTATAGCCATTTCTGAGTGCATTTTAACTTTGTCCAATATGATTTTTCCGAATTATATAACATGATATCACATTTTCTTAGGGCTTCCTCTGTGAGTTTTGTAAATAGGAAAAATTCATAAGTAGCATCGTCAACTTCTTCCATTATTACATAGGTAGGTTCACATAGTAGTAAACGACCATAGTGTACACATTCATTTATGTAGTCTTTATCAGCTAGAAAATAATTTCCTTGGTGCTGGTTTATAATTAAAAAGTCTATTTTAGACTTGATACTGACGTAATCTCGTAAGATTTGGTGTATTTTTTGTGGCATAGGTAGTGGATGCTGTAACGTCTATATAGTAAAATTAAAAATAATTTTTCCCCGCTCGTTTCTTCGGAATTGTCCATGTGGACTTAAAAGTCCTTTTGAGCAGTTTTCATGCAAACGCACGTTGGCCTATGCTGACCGGAAATGAAAAGCAAATAAGGCAGTAAAATACTTTTTAATACGGAGAAATGAAATTACTTTAAAAACTAATGGAGACAAAAAGTCTATCTGGGAACAGCTGAACTGGGGTTCAATACTAAAATCGGCAAAACTTGATACGATGTTAAAAGTTAGAATAACGTAGGGTTAGTATGTATGGACAAACAATAATACATACTACTCTCCTAGCAAAACATCATCAACTTTTCATTTGGTTTTTATAAATGCATAACTCTCCAAGCTAGTCTTTTTTCTATTACATTTCCGAATTTTTTAATATATCATCCACATTTGCCTAAATTTTTGAACTCGTTTAACATGTAAGAGAAAACGGGAAAACCAAGCTTATCATTAACAATAGCTCTTTTTCCTTTTTTTGACTCATATGTGTTCAGAAAAGAGTCCGTGCAGCTGCTCCAATATAAGTAACGGAACTTCTAAATCCCCAAACCACCACGTGCCGACTCCCTCTCCAATGGCTAGAAGCGAAAAACATATTAACTAAAATTCTACCGAAATTCCGAATTATTTTTGCAATCAGTCAAAACTACCCGTAAGTTTAATTATGTTAACTCGCGAAAGGCAAGGTACTTCTATTGTTACCACTACTTGAATTTTTATAATTATAACTATTAATACGGTAGTTACTACTATTATTCCCATTATTGTTATTATTATCATACTATTACACTAATGTTATCATTATAAAGTGTTATAACAATGGCCAATGTTATATCTTTTTAAGTATTAGTTGATGTACCGTAGCACATCGATCGTTTATTTACCCAAGCATTAATTAAAATATTAAGCGATTCTCTCCGTTCTTTCTGCAACAAGTTTAGTTGAATAAACAAACAGGGTCTAGCATTAGTAAATATTAACGATGTTTTATCTTAACATTAATATTAAGTCAAATTAAGGTTTTGTAAAATTTAGAATCAAAAGAGAAAGGAAGGGGACTAGTAAGTGAATTACCTTCCCTTATTTTAACGCACAGAGGAGAATGAGTTGGATGTGGGATGTGCCAATTTTTGAGTGGCTGAACTAGAGCATCTCTAGCCAATTAGATCTTTGGTTATTATCTTTCCCTTTCAGGATTTTTTCGGCAAATTTTTCCTGCGTCGTCTTGAACCAGCGCGTCGCAAAGGTCCACTACTCCTTATAAAAAGGCTTGAAGGCCCTGAGAAAAAGGCTCGACGACAGACCTTCAAGGTAGACTGAGTAGTATGAGTTCGTCTCTACTGCAACCCAGTCTACCGCGAGGTGAGAACACAGTACAGTTCAAATTTTACCTTCGAACGATCCACTAGATAATAAGAGTCCGCCTCTACTATCTAACGGTCCTCCACGAGTGGTATCTCCTTTGTATAATTTTTTAATAAAAATGGTCCCTCAATACACTCAGATAAGACGTGAAAAATATAGTTGTGAGATTGCTCTTCAATGACTAAGAATTCACACTAAATTAAACATCAATTAAAAACATGCAGTCTTTAGTACTATTTCAAAACTTATATTTACCATGAACACTTGATGTTTCAAGAGTTGAAGCTGACAACTATTTAATACTCTCTGATCGGAATCATTAACTAAAATATAATAAAACAACTAACTTAATTTTATGTGCCATACAAAAGATCAAGTTCTGTAAAATAATTACGAAAACGAGTTCTTAATGAAAGCTTACTCACACATTTTGTAAAGAATAAAATAAGCATGTAAGAGATAAAGGCAAAATATTGAAATGTGAATGGCAAACCTATTAGATTGAGAGTTATAACTGGAACATTATAACAGGTAGAGGAAGATTGACTTCACAAATTCATATTATCTAAAAAAAAATGTATGACAATATAAATGGAACAGTGCATGATCTTAGAAGAAAGTAAGATTATAGTTGAATGCTATACATTTTTTTTTGCAATTTGCATACATTACACATCAACCGGTAGACAGCACTAGAATAAACTGTTATGTCTTCATTTAACAAAGCTTATCTCCCATAAAGCATTACGCTTAACGATTCTTGTCTCGGAAAGTGAAAGTACAACAACATCAAAATATTCAATCAGGACAACTACAATCGGGAGTATGTATTTACACACACTACATATGTAAATAAGGATTCAGAGCCAATCGTATAAAGGTTAATGGACAAATCCCATCGCAGTCTATGCAAATCGCCAGAAACTATAGATATATTATGCATTAGCGCAATCGATAGTCTGGCGTCACAGCCATCAGCCCCATGTAAACAAGACATGAGCTGTGATGCTCTTCTCCCTAACAGTATAGCTACGGCGCACATCTATAGAAGTCAAACAAGTACAGCATAGTGGTTGTGCATCGCGTCTATAGCGAAATGAAACGTCGCCCACTCCATCACCATTATGCTGCTCGGCCATTCTTTTATTCTCAGTGTGGTAAGGTGGAGCCACAGCAATGCTGTCCAAAGGACGTATAGTAGAGGAAGATATATTAGTTTTCTGTGGTTTAATAAACATGACAATTGTATTTGCTGAAAACGATTTATTATTCACCCCATAAAACAAGAGAATTTTCGTGCAAATCTGCTTTTTTCAGAGCATAATCCAGAACTTTACATATTAAATCGTCTTACAGTTTAACTTCATGAAAATCAAATCTTACAACTTTATTCACATTGATGTTTAATAAATAAAATAATAAAAATGATTGAAAACTGGTCAAGTTACTTGTGTATGAGGATATTGAAACATCAATATTTATTTTAATACTAAAATTAGTTTAAATTTTAAACCTATTTGCTAGTTATTAGTTACACTTATTTGCACTGCTAAGAATCGGTGTAAAAAATATTAACTAAATTAAAAATATTAACTGATTATTGATTTTTTGTTATTAATTAAGTTATTCCGTAGTTATTTCCTATTTGAAAATCATAAAGTAATAATCTCAAACATGTGCGATTTGTGACTTTTGTTTAAGAGTTGTTTTTCAGAGAATAATAATAGTAAAGCAGTTTTAGAAGATATTAAAAAAATTTTGAAGATTCTTATTTTTTGAGGCTTACATTATCTTAGAACATCAGCAGTAGTTTCTCCTACTTGACGGTTCTACTACCTTAGTTTTTTTACAATGATCTAATACATTGTTTGTTAAAAAACATTTAATTCATGTATCTGGAGGGCAACAGTAATTTTACACCATTCATATGTCATTTTAAAGTTAATACATCAGTATTAATAAGCTTTTTATTATTTTTAAGGCTTTATACTTTTAGTGATTAGTTTATTATGTATCAGTATACATGTTATTTTACCATTCATACTACCATAAATAAACTTCTACTGATCTGTTCTTCTAACTAATTAGTATTGTGTTTGATAAAGTTTTTAAGAACTAGAAGTCCCTTGTCAATATAACCATAGGTGCAAGAACCTACATTTTTCAGCAGAGCTCAATTATTCTTTCTTCTATTGGCTGTGTGCACAATGCAGCAGAAATCAAGTAGGTTTAGATATTGAATTGCTAACTTCTGCCACATTGTGTGACCAGTGAATTCTGAAGACCTTTATTTTTTAAAGTAACAATGTGTGTTAAGACTTTTGATACATTTTTTTATGAAAAATATCTTGTACCGTTTTTTCTATCTCAGGGTGCTTTTCGTAAAATTCAAAAGATTTTACCACGTCCAGAATAAAAAAATTTGTTTTTGCCACTTAAACGCTAAGCACCTACGGCCATTCCAGCTCTACTTCACAGGTTTATTGGGCCATAAAATTTTAAAATGTCTTTAATTTAACGTTTAAGCAATGAGCCCGCTATCAAATACATAATATTTAACCTTGACTTTATGTAACATACTAACAGTAAATATTTATATTTAGTTACAGAACCAAGTGGAAACGTGACAAAAGAAGTAAGAGATGCTCTTAATATATCATCAAAACTCAATTCAACATCATTTATCGAGAATTTACAGAGGCATCCACTGCTTGTCTCACTATCAAGTTTTGGGTTCTTATACCTAGTGGTGCGAGAGTCTCTGCAGCTCATCTCCAGCCCGGTTTACTATATTCTTAGTCTAGAAAACTGGCTTGAACTTGGACTGATTGGCTCGACGCTTGGATTTTTGTACAATAACGGCCCAGAAGTAGGCGCCCTTACAATCTTTCTCTCGACATGGGAGTTCATGATTTTGCTTTCACATCATCCACGAATGTCTACAGATATCGAGATGTTTAAAACCGTCACAATTAACTTTACCAAGTTTCTCTTTCTTTACGTCTTCCTGATTCTTGCATTTGCTCTCTCATTCTACGTCTTATTCCAGGATAAGGAAAGTTTTCCGAATCCCTTCCGTTCGCTGTTCAAGACAATTGTCATGCTGACTGGAGAGTTTGATTCCTCTAGCCTACCATTTAGCGCACACCCTGTATTAAGCAGGTTAATATTCGTTGGCTTTATTTTCCTTGTCGTAATAATTTTACTGAACCTTCTAAATGGCTTAGCAGTCAACGATACCGCAGAAATTCTCGCTGAGGCTGAGCTGGTAGGGCTGGTGGCACGTGTTCGCCTTCTAGCATACGTTGAGCGCATCGCCGTTGGCTCAAATACCTACTCTTCATCCACACTACTATGCTGTTTCAACTATCTGCAGGGTCAGTTGTCACTAAAGAGGCTGCGACAGACTCCACTGAGTTTCATCGCACGGAGACTACTTCTATTCCCACGCTTTCTTCCCCAAACACGACTCAGTGTAAAGCCCCTCAAGAACTTTGAGATGACTCTTCATGGCCGAACAAAAAGTAGCAAGCACAGCTCTAAATTCTTCATGGATAGATCGATTTCTTGGCAAGCCAAAAAGATAGCCGAGGCTCGAGGCAAGGATACAGACTTGGAGAAGGTACTGTTACAAATAAGGAACAGATTTGATAGGTTGGAGATTGCTCTCCGGGATATTAAAGCCTTTGTTCAAAAACCCAACAATGAAAGTTAAATCGTTAAATGACGGTTTATAATTTGATTTTTGATTGCTTTTTTCTAGGGCTTGGAATAAAAAAACCTTTTTGCTGTTAAGTTTTATGAAAATCGTTTAATTTTTAGACCATACTCACTCGTTCTTAATGTAGTACGGATTGTTACGAATAAAGCTAGCATTATCTAAATTTGTAGACTTATTTCATGAGTAAAAAATACCTTGACATTACATAAATATATTGATGCAAGCATCTGTTTATTATGTATAGTCAGATCAGTACGTGCAGTATCAAACACAAGAAAATAACACTTTTTAAATTATGTTGGCAGTGGCATTAGTTATTCAGTTGAACGTCAAATTATTATTTTTAATAGTGGACAAACAGTAGGATAAATTTAAATTATTATTTGGTGAACATTTTTTAAAATCAGTAAATTCTTTACCTTACTTGATAATGTTCAAACGTTAAAGAATCCTTATAATTATCAATAGTTTTTTTGACGTATTTCTTAAAAAATCGAATGTAAACCAAAATGGATATGGTACACAGATAAAACTTAGAGTTCCAGCCAAAAAAATGAAAACTAAGTCAAACCGTAAATTTCCAAAATGATATATTATTCATACTGTAAAAGTAACAGTTCTAGATGTTGATAGAGGCCGTAGACACTTTACAAATACCCTAATATCTGAAAAAGAAGCAGGTAATAATGGTACTTATAAATTTGTAAATGAGAATCGGCACAATGCAGGAGAAATTTTTTGAAACCGACTTACACGCTAAGACCGTGTAACGCAAAGCTTGAAGATATTTTTCAAGTATTTATTCTAAAAAAAACTTAAAGTCCAGTAACTAAGATAGGATGCCCAAAAAAGCTAAAAACCAGCACAAATTGAAAAAACATTCTTTGTAAGATGTTTGACAAACTCCAATAAACATTGAGCAACTAAACCTCATCATAAGGTAGTAAAAGACCCCAGCTGGAAACATATTACACATCCTAAAACCTACTCCAATCTGAAAGTTTACTAAAAACTTTTGTTAAATGCTTACTTAGTCCCAACATTTTTATTTTGTCAATATTCTTGGTCGCTGCTAACAAATCCAATGTCAGATGACACGGATTATATTACTTATTTCGTAAACCATGCCATTTCAGGCTAACAATTCTAATTTCTTATTAAAAAATGGCAAACTAAGTATTTATCCTAAGAACTGTGTACTATAGGATATTCATAGACCCTCATAACTTATTCATTGTCAGGTTACATGGATTATGTTACGAATTTTAAAAAATCATGATTTTTTTCGCTGTATATTCAACTTTTTATAAAACGGCTAACTAAATATTTAACGTTGAAACTGTGCTCTAAGTGATATTTTGGTCCCTGACTAAGAATCTAGCATCAAATTTTTTTGATTATACCACGTGTTCCTACGTATTTATTTTTACGTGGTAACTTTTATTTTTTTTTAAATTTTTGACTGCAATCAGTTTGACAACGAAAACAGGCTCATAGAAAACGAAATTACTGATGAAATTATATCATTCATTTTTCTATACAGTTTCTATTTATCTAGATAATCATATTAACAAACTTATAAACTATATTTAGTTACTACTGTGAACGTTTAAGAACTTATTTTTTTTCCTTTTTTCAAGCTGATCGCTTTTGATAAGAAAATATATAAATGTCAATTATAAACCACAAATTTAAAAGTTACGCAATTTGTATTAATGAAAATAAGAAAAATTAACATTGATGATACAAAACTGTACACATAAAAACTATTTAAAGTTGCAAAAAATATACTTTATTTTAAGATACTAGCAAATATGCCACGATGTACAAACTATGTGACGTAATCCATGTAATTTGATATCAGATTCGTCATTGAAGATAAAAATAAATGTTTAAGAAACAGTTTTAAGGAGGGTTGAGTGCCCTAGTATCACCATATAAGATATACATCATTAAATAGTTCGATTACGCTGAATCTAAGGGTACCCTTTTTTGTATCCTTAACTGGATAAAATCTTGAAAAACTCGTGCTTAAAGCTTGCTATGTTAACTAGAGCCTTTATGGGAGGTATACTAAGACTAATGATTCGCAACTAGAATCAAAAGTGTCAGGTATTATCAGTACACACGTGTTGTAGGTTATAACTTTATTTTGTAAATGCTGCCCTGAAAAATATAGATAACCGGAAAAAATTTTGAGATATTCTATTTATAACTAATCAAATTGTGGTATTTCTGTAAGTTAGTCTATTTTTTCTTGCGGTAGTGGTGCCAGCTATCAAAGTTTTTAGAGTAAATTAGAGCTTCAAGATGTGGGTTGGTATTCCTACTTGCTGGAACCTCCTTAAAGACAAAAACTTAGTTTGCTGTTGTTGTCAAAGTTACATTTGCTATCAAAAATTTACCAAATGCGTGACATAATCCTTATAATTTGGCGTCAGATTCATGATTATTGACCAAAAGTACCTGTATAATGACAATTTTAGGAGCAAGTAAGCATTAAAGGAGGTTTGATACAATCTTTTAACGGGGTGATGAAGCGAAGTCAAGGATGTGGGAAGCTTACAACATTACTGACAGAACGTAATACAGTTCATTCCTAGTTTTTTATGCGTTGATCTTGTAAACCTAACCAAAGTATTTATTTTTATGTTAAAAATCAGAATTTTCTTTTAAATTAGTATAGATACAAATAAAAATGAGAGGATCATTTCATTCCGCAATATTTGAAGTATCGAAGTATATTTTTTGTCAATTTTTCCACCATTACTAAGGTATGTTATTGTTAGGTTACAAAAATTTTCCCATAACAGCCCGTGTTGGGTTGTTAATTTTTTATTTTCAAATATCTTAATAACTACATGGCTAAAATTACCTAAAAGACGTACATTTATTTTTATAAAACATGAAATGATTCAAAAACTTAGTTAGAGCTCTCAACCATTGTCGATGATATGTATCAAACCTCGTTAAAATCAGAAGACAGTGACGACTAAGGTACCCAACTATGAAGTTACACTTTTAGAGCAGAAAATATAGAAATGTAGATATTTTTTAAAACGATGAAATAAAAATTTAGATTTTTATAAAACGATATTTAAAAAAATCTCAGCCCACTGTGATGTGTCGAATGTAGTGGAATTATTCTTGGAACTAGAGTATTCGTTAATAAGGTGTGGTTTTAACAATTATTTTAATTTTAAATAATCAATCAAAAAATATATCATGTAGATTAGAAAAGTTTGGAATATAGCCATGGTACGACGTTCTGCCAGGTAGGACAATACGAGACTGACAGCCATCATCGAATTTTTCGATGATTTTAAAACAATCTTCTACGCCGATAAAATTTCTAACATCGCGCACGCACCTGTTACATATACTCACATATATTAATTTATAGTTGCGTATTTAATGACTACTATACATATCTAAAAGATGGCTGAGACAAAGCAAGAAAAAGTTTGTAAGGGATGAGATCAAATAAAAATTGAATAACCTCTCCATAGAACCTCGTATAATTCAACCAATAATGAATAAAAGGATTCCAAACAAAAAGATTACATTAAATAAAAATTATTTATTTATCAACTTTAAAGTTAAAAAATTGATAAGAATTAAGAATTTTTTAATGTATGGTAAAACTGCTACCAAAAAATATTGTTTTTAGGTTTTGTAAAATTTGTGATAAAACACATAATTCATTGATGTATGTTATTAATCTAACACTCATAGACAAATTATTTAAATGTTAATAAATAAATATTGAATTTCAAAAATAAGTTACGAACCACAAAAGAAATACAGTGAAAGGTGAGCTCCTATTAGAGATCGCTTGTGGCACGAGGGCGTGAGTCGTTATTCATGAATAAGTGTTTTATTTTCTTATTTTCCAGAACTTGAGTAGGAGTTAGTCAAACCTGACTTCAGGGGCTTTTTGTCTGTCCCCAAACTAAAAAAAAGTAAAAACTCCCTTTCGTCATGTATTTTTTGAGACATAGTATTTCGACTTGATTGATCTTCTTCCGTGCATATACAAGTATAACTTGAACAAATTATGTAAGTATCTCCTTAATTAAGGCTATTGTAAGGTATGATATGCCCTTGCCCAGATATTTTAGCTAAATTTAATAGTTAAGTAACTTCATTCAAAAACTATAGATAAGGCTAGCTTTATCTGATTAAAGCTAGCAAATATTACTTGGTAATGAATTTTTATTTATCTAAATGAATAACAATTAGATACTTATTCTTAAAATATTTTACTTGTAATTTTAAACTGTGTTGAGAAACCTTCATTGACTGCTGAAGAAATGATGATTTTAAATTGTTAAGAATTTTACTTGTATACTCCCTTATGAACTTTAACAACTTTTTGCGCATTTTTAGCTTTCAAAACTGTTTATAAGTTGATAAACACTGGAAAAAATCTAAAAATCAGTTAGTAGGAAATTTTATTCTTATATTGCGTCTAATTATAAAATTTATAAATTGAAATCTTATAATTGCAAGAAAAATCATAATAATTATCCTACAACTAATAAAAATGAATAATTAAGAGTAAAACAATATCACTGAGGATACACCATACTATTCCAATAACGAAAAATAAAAAAAATTTTCCATGGAAATCATTGATTTTAATAAAAAATTATTCTACTTTCATAGACAAAAAAAATTAATCAACAGCTTGGACTATCATTGTTTTAACGGTGGTTTCATTAATAATACTTGATCATAAAAATTTTTTTTCAAATTTTGTGTTTCAAAAGTATCAAAATCGTATTATCAGAAATAGAATTAGAATTTAATGAAACTTAGCCATAGGTAACTTGTTGCATAAAAAATCAAAGAGATGATTAACTAAGCATGAGTTGTTATTAATTATTTTAACGTACTAGGCTAAATACTACAGCAGTCTGATCATTTTTCATAAAATTTTTGTTTTATCTTTTAATAAAAGTGGAAGAAAATTTGTGAGCAACCTTTTCATTCTTCGTTTTCTTAGAACATGGCATTTAATTAGCCACTTTCTATAAATTATCATTATTCAGAAATCAGGTGAGTGAACATAAGATTGCCAAATTGATGTTAGTAGAATACTACAAATTTTTGAAGTTAGAAACATTCAACGTACGCATAAAAACTTATGTTATTGAAATG